GTACAGTAATATTGATATATAATATAATGTGTATTGTTTATTTAGTAAATTTTAGCAGTTTAGAGATTTTGATATTTTTTGTAAAATTTAAAAGAATAATTAAATAAATGTTACTACACCCAAAAATCTTTTTTTTTCAGTGTAGTAGCTATTATTATGTGTAAACTGTACATGACTGGTGTAATTAGAGATGAATGGAGAAAACCTTTTTTCACTGCTTGTAAAGGGGAAGTTACTTGCATGACTTTGTGTTAATTTATTTATTGTTTATTTGTCAGGGAAAAGTGTTTAGTACAAAACAAACTGCCCAGCATGACATTTATAGGCTAATATTTAAACACAGCCCCGTTAAACAAAATGTAACGGCCTTTGACTGGTAACGTTGTTCAGTTGTGGACGTATTATTGAAAATATACATTTACTGTTGATGTTGAGCTTCTTATCCTCTTGAGCTTTGAAGAAATTCAGCTTCTGGTCTTTGGAAGTGGGTCTTTGTGGAAAGGTTATTAAAAAATAAAGTATTACCTGTTGTAGACTCAGTTAGTGTTTTTCCACTAAAACTGTTCCAGTACCAGAACTGGACTAGAACTGGAACTGGTTCTTAAAAAACAAAGAACCAGATGAGTTTCCTGTATAGGTAGAGTCACATCATTATATCACATTAGACGTCTCTTTTATGTTTGTTGTATTCTGAGTTTCCATAAAAGATCAAAGTGCAGAAAAACCATTTATCACCACTGATGACAGGATTTGTTTGATTCCTGCTAACAGAAGGTTTAAAACATAAACAGTGAAGGAGAGTTACACTCAGATTTTCAAACAGAATTCTTAAACATTAGCTGCTGATGTTAAAAGAGTTAAAAACCTTTATAAATGGTGCTTTAGCAGCATTACTGCACCCGCCATTTTTTAAAATAAACCCCGCAAACATTAACGTATAAGCCGCACCCCCAACATTGAAAAAAAAATAAATAAACCAGTACACCCAACACTGAAAAAAAAAAAACCAGTACACCCAAAATTGTTGTCAAAATAGTGAATTCAACATCACTTTTATTATTTAAGAAAAAAGTTGGCAAGTTTACTGGTACAAAATAATAATAATAATAATAATAATAATAATAATAATGTCAAATGTCTTGACAGAAAATATTTTTCAGCTTATCTTTAGCCAAATGGGAAAATTTTTATTCAACAAGACAAAAGCCATCACTTTTAGTTAATGACTGTCAATTTGCAGTTTTTTCCCCATCAGAGTAAAAAAACCATAAACCTTGAAACTCTCGTAAAAAAGTGAGAGGTCTAGAATTAAAATATAAAAAAAAAAACTTTAGGAATTAAAGTTCGGAGGAATACGGTTCATTTAGAAGTGTAAAAATAAAACTAATTCAGGGTTTTTATACATGGGGCTCACATTTTTGTTGGTTGGTGGTCTCCATGAGCCCCCACTCTGCACTGTAGTCCTGGTGCAGAACTGGTAACAGTTTTTCAGTGCCACAGAGAGAGCGTACAAAGGTGGAAAAAGAAAGAGCTGGTGCTGGGCAGCCTCTGGCTCCATTTTAACACCCGAACCTGTTTTATAGAAAAGAAATAAAATAGTTTGGAGAAACAGAGTTAAGTCTGACTGGATTTTTAAAGTCAGTTCATTGTCCCCCAACACAAAACCATGAAGGGAATTCATCTATCCATCCGTCCATCTTCTAAACTGGATATCTTGAAAGATAAGTGAGGTTGACTTCAGTTTAGGTGTGCAGCTGCATCTAAGCTTCTCCATTCATCAAGAACTTGGTCAAAATAGTAATTTTCCTCATTTATTTATGTACATTTTTACATTTTCTGCTCTTTTGTTTGTGTGCATTGGAACATTTTTTCTCTTTCTTTCCTTCTCTGTTTACCAGGAAGTCGTACGAGTTTGAGGATCTGCTCCAGTTGTCTTCAGAGAGCTGCAGAGGGGACTGGTATGCTCAGTCCAGGCTGGGATTAACATGCACTTTATCAGAGGAGAACGTCTACGAGGACATAATAGGTAAATCACTTGTCACACTCTTTTTTTTATTTTTTACTTTGAACCTTGCAAAATCATTTACAATGTTCTGTCCAAAAACATTTTAAACTTTAAGCTGGAAATAGATTTTGATTTTTAAATTGGGGGTATTATATGTTTTCCAGGCACATATTTCAATTCTATATCATATTAAAGTAACTACTTCAGCTGTATATATCAAAAATAAATTAGACATTACATCACATTCTATCGAAACACCTTTAAGAACCCCCTTCTGTTTCAGACACTCCCACTTCAGCTCATTTTCAAACAATGCTTCGAGGGAGGGGTGCTCTGAGGGGCGGGAGCTCAGCTGCAGACTGAGCTCCAGGGAGGAGCTTTGTGTAAATAGGCGGAGCTTTGTACCAGCAAATGTTCAGGCAGCTCCACATGGCTACAGGAGATTCAAGGATTTCTCAAACGTGCATGAAGGAGTCAAAAAATATGGATATGTTTTTGACGAGGGAATGACATTTTAATATGATATAGTATAAAGCTAAAAAAAGTCGATTTTCAGTTCAATTCAATTCAATTTAAAAAATACTTTATTGATCCAAAAAGGAAATGAGGTGTTGTTGTAACTCATTTAACTAAAAACTTATTGTAGATGCTGATGGCTGTGGRCAGGAAAGATCTTCTGTAGCGTCTGTATTACAGCGAAGTTGAAGAAGCCTCCGACTGAAGACACTTTGTCTTTCTATGACAGTCTGATGAAGAGGATGGTCAGGGTTGTCCACAATGTTCTTGATTTTATGTAAAATCCTTCTTTGCACCATCATCTCCAGAGATTCCAGTCGTCCCAGAACAGAACCAGCCTTCTTTATCAGGTTGTTTAGCCTTTTAGGTCCCTGGCTC